CTTTTATTCCTGTGGTTTGGAGCATGAGGACAGAAAAAGCACAGACACAGACCAACAAACACTACTAGAATTAATCTTTCTGTCTCAGACATATGAAACATATGCACACTCCCATAGTGGAATACACATTGGGACCAACATTTGAACAAAAACTTCGGGTTGTACCTGTTGCAATCAGATTGCTACACCTGAACTAAGCCTGGCCATAGCACAATCAAAGCTTTGTCCATGATAGTTACTGATCCTCAAAATTAGATGCAATAATATATCCTTAATTACTGATACAATTACCTCTGCTGGTGAACCGAGTGCATTGTATAATCCAATGAGCTCCTCAAACATCCATGTCATCATCTACATAACACATAAAATTCCTTGATCTTTGTCAGAGAAGATTGTTTCATCTATCATTATCATATGCCACTTCCCCAAAATTTTCTCAAATATTCTTTATGATTTTAAGAGCCATGATTATCTTTTTTTCAATAAGTGGGCTCCTGAACTTGTCTTGACTTTTTTTTCATCCACTTTGAAACATAAAGATCATATTTTTTGTGCAAACAAAGAAATGAAATAAAGTTGTAGTTTACCTCTCCATTGAAGGGAGTATTTTAAATGAAAATCCTTGTCTTGGAAGATAACTAAGGGGCTGCACCCCCTGTTCGCTACACTCACCAACCTCCCTCCCCCTTGCTGGCTGCTTTTGCGGCCAGAGAGCCTTTTAATCTTGCACTGAACCCAGCTGCACTCTCCATAGCCCCAAGTCACTCGCATCCTTCTCCACTCCCACCCACCATACCCGTGGACTGGCCCCTCTATCTGAACGCCCTCAGCCCATCCCACCTGCTCTTGCCTTTCAATCGTCAGCCAGTCCCCCCTGCCTGCACCCTTCCTGCCCACCAATAAAATAGTCCCTGGCCCACAGCCCATCGCCCTCCTTCCATCCCTTGCCCCATCTCAATCCCTACACCCCCATTTCCACACCCACAATCCTCTCTTACCCCCCTGCCCATCCTCCTCCTTCCATCCTTACCCTCACCTCCATTACTTCACCCCCCCATTCCCCGTAACTCCTCCCCTTCCACCCCTCCTCCATTTCTACACACCCATCCTTCCCTAACCCCTCCCCCTTGACACTCCCTCCTCCACTGCCTATCCCCTGCCTCCATTCCTATATTCCCCTCACCCCCACAATCTCCCCTTACTACACCACCCATTCCCACATTCACTCTTATTCCCTTTCCTCGCTCCCTATGCAAAATCAACCCCTTCCTACAAACAGGCAACCTAATCAGCAAAGAAACAACACCAAGCCCGTATGAAGGAATTTCTATGGCTTTGGGGGCGGCTACTCTGGGTGCTGTGACAGCAGGAGCTGAGCAGCTGCCTGGAGAGAAGGGGTGGTAAAGGTGGCATTGCTGGGGTGTTGTGAAGTGGGAAAGGGGTATGTCTGTGGGCAGAGGAAATGGAAAGGAAGTAGAGAAAAAGGCCCAAGTGAGAGGCAGAGAGTGGGGGTTCCTTTGAGATGCCAGGTTGAGAAGAGGGGATGGGAGTTTGTGAGGGGGCAGGGGAGGGGCTGAGGAAACACTTGGAGGATGGAAAGAAGGGTTGGAGGTCATGCAGTGAGGGGGGTCCTCTGGGCACCACCATGCAGAGGCAGGTGCTCCCCAGCTATCCTGTCCCCACTTGGCCATGTCAGCAGCCATTCCGAATACTGTTGGGCCTCCCCTTTGTGATGTCTCAGGGGTTGCCAGACTGCAGCAGCAGTTTCAACCAGGGTGGCTTGAAGGTATGGCAATGGATGGGGCCACTCAAGATATGGCAGTGGATGGGGGGCAGGCAGCCAGGGACACAAAGCCTGACTCCATTCCCAGCACAAGTGATCCATGCCCCAGGCCTCCACCAGCTGAAGCACCCCGTGGGCCAGGATGCTGAGAGCCCCTGCCTAGGAGGAGCATGGCCTTGCAGTTCCCATCGCTGGGTAGCGAGCCAAAGTTCAGCCTGTCCCACACATGCTATCGTGCACCATAGGCAGCTGCCAGAAGGGGACATGGTGCAGTGGTTGCTTCCCCGGAGCAGAGGGATGCCAGAGTAAGCCTAATGCACAGCCAGTGCCTCCCTCAGCCACCAGGCCCTGCTCCACTTCCTCTGTTGGTATGCTCCTGCGCAACACCTCAGATCCTCTGGCCACCAGGAAGGCCCTCGATGTCCCCAGGTCCAGCCAACCCCAGAAATTGCACCAGAACCATATGCAGGATTTTGGGGGGGGGGGCTGATCCTGAGTGGCGCCCAGGCCCTGGATGGAATTGCTCCCTGCCCCGGACAGTGTTTGGGGACTGGCAAAGCCACTTGGCAACTTGGTCTGGGCAGATTCTGTTTCCAAAGGGTCCTTCCCGCTTAGTTCTGGCCGCAACCTTTTGGGAGGTGGAACTTGCTGAGACCAGGCTGCCAGGTGGCTTTGCCATACCTGAACAGTGTCTGGGGCAAAGCGGCCGTGGGAGGACGGAGCCTGTGGGATGCAGAGTGACATGATGACATCACTCTGTTCTCCTGCAAAAAAACCTTTTTTATATATATAGACATATACTAAATATTGTCAATATTTCAGTATTCTTTCCCCCCCTAAGAGTACTGGTCTTTGAAGAATATTACCCATTTCCTAGTGACATTTGTCTCAAGACTTTTTCCAATTAGAGAATCCACATGGTTGGAAAATTTAGGCACTCCCTGTGCTAAACCAGATCCATATCCCTCCTCATAGTGAGATGGACCTCACTCATATCAATCCATAGACCAGGGGTGCTGGTGGGTTGGTGGGATAAGGTGAACTGGGTCTCCCCCAGGGCTGCTGAAAGAACATGGGAAAGGTAGAAGGCAGTGCATACAACTGTGTAGAAGCATCCAAAAATTTGATGCCTCAGTTTTTCAGGTGCTTTACAGAGCTGCATATTCTGTGTATGCCTAGGGATGACATTGCAGCCCAGCTTGCACCTCACTACACATGGAGGCTAATCTAGGATTCAGAGACAACATGAGTGCATGGTGGCCTGGAGATGGAAGGGACCCTGCAGTGCAGTTGTGGACAACCTGAAGGAGGCAGCACGTGGTCCAACAGAGTTCCATATGCAACCCGTGCACCTCCTCTCTGCCTCCTTCCCTCATGCATCTCATTCACTGGGGGTCCCCACACCTACCCTCACCTCCCTTTTCCTCCCAGAATTTCCCGAGTGCCATGAATTGGCTGATTCACATCTTGTCCCCACTCCTCTCCCTCCCACAGCTTGAATTATGTGAATCAGCTGAAGAGAGGGAGAAGATGCACAGAATGACTCAGTCCTCACTGGACAGGGTAGAACCTGAGGCCCTGGGTGTTTTGGGGAGAAGTAGGGACTGAACCTAATCTCCTGCCAAAGAGAAAGGAGCAGCAGCCGAGAAGACAAACATGGGAGTGCGACTGGTGTGAAGTGTTATGGGCAGCAATGGAGTTGCGGACATCCATCCCCTATCCAGGGTACATTCTGTGGGTGAGGGATAAACAAACTCTGCAAGTATGACCCCAGGGATCACCAAGCGGGAGTCAAGGGACTCTCCTGGAGTAACTCCACTGACAGAGGGAGAAAAGAATGGGCAAGGACAAATCTAGTGGTTATCTAAGTGGGTGGAAGGTTATGACAGGCTGATGAATAAGGAGGGTTTCATCAGCCACAGGCCACTCCAGCCCCAGTGAGCTTTGTGACTGCCTGGCAAAGATAAAAAGCTGCCAACCTAATTAACCAAGGGCTATAAAAGCTGGGAGGAAGGATAACAGAGAGAAGGAGGAAAAAGAAAGGCAAGGCACAAAGAAGTGGATCATTTTGATCTGCTGCTGGCAAAATTTGGTTGTGAAGAACCTGTACGTAGATAGTAGGGAGGTGGAAAACAACTATAAATAAAGAACACTGCTATTTGCATCAACATGAGGCATCTTTGAGGGTACGTCTACACAGCAACATTATTTTGAAATAATGTTAAAATACTGTCAAGCTGGAGGACTTCTTACTCCGACTCCTGTAACCCTCACTGTAAGAGGAGTAAGGAAGAGTGCTCTATTTCGAAATAAGCGCTGTGTAGACACTCCCAATTTCACAATAAGCTATACAATTGACTTAGCTCAATTTGCGTAGCTTATTTTGAGTTAAGCCCTGCTGTATAGATGCTCCTTGACTGATTAGTGAGGGAAGCATGGGCAGAAACTAAAGAGGCCCCAGCTTGCCCTTTGCTTCAGGGAGCCACTGAAAGCCACCAAATCAGGGTAAGCTAAAAGAATGGCCTTGTCTTCCAAAGTTATACAGAAGGAAAGATTTAAGTCATGATAGATGTAAGTATGTGAACGAGTAATCGACTAGTCAATTAACCGATAAGCCTACTACTTGCATTCTCCTCCCCGCTGCCTCTGTATCAGAAGCAGTGGGGGAAGAGCAGAAGCTGGTTCTGGGGTGCTGCCTGCCCCTAGGATTCAAACATTCAAGAAAGCACCAACCCCAGTCTCTCTCATCAGTACATGAACATATGCTAATAAAGAGATAATTTTTATAGGACACAGTCATAAAGATGCAATAATAATAGCTCAGCTGCATTACGTGGATGTTTTCCAGAATGGTGAGATAGGAATATTTAACTAAAAGGCAAGAGTCTAAAATATGCAAGGAAAAAAGAAATACTTTCTACTAAAAAATGATTAAAATAGTCTTGTGTGACATCTGCCTACAATAAGTATTACGTATGGCAGTACCCACTCCCCTGAAACACTACAAGCATTGACTGAATTATCATTTTAGAATCAATGGAACATATTCTCTCCTATGTGCACATCATTCTCTTTAATATTAATATGAGTTTTGAATGGGGATCAAGAGGATATTAAAACCCCAATAAGTATATTAGTATAGTATCAGTGTAATGTGGCATACATTCATTAAGAGTTTAATTACTGAGTTCCTGAGAATAAAACTGTGTCTTACCTTTTTTTAGGCAAGGAAATTTGAATAATTTAACAAATCCAAAATCATCTCCAGTCACTAGTACTGAGCTACTGTAATTTCCATCCACGGAGTTGACATCTGTAATGTTGGTATATTTTGGCCAAATTCCATTCACTTCAGGCCCTATCACACAGGTCCATGAGGCCCAGTGAATTCCTTTGATTTCATCTTTGCTTGTTAAATGCTTCCCAGCTGAAAACAGTCAAATTAACATGCTGCTTATCCAACTATCTTTCCATTAAAAAGGTGTTTTCTCTATTGTATTTAGTTCTTTTTTAAGCTCAGTTTTTTTATTAATAACCTTTATTTTAAATAAATATGATCGATCACTGCTTATGAGGCTCTTCGAAGATGTTTAGGGGTAAGTTAGAGCTCAATAACAGTACAGAACACTAAGTGCCAGGACTGGTGGCTGTAAACAATCTTTATGGGACCATGGGAAACTTGGCCACAACCAAGATAAGTGGACATCTAGCTAACTGTGGCTCAAAATGTATTTCTGGAGTGGGTCAATATATAATATAAATGATACAATGGGAATGTGCAATTAGATGAATAGTGGAAATATATTTATTTTTACTAAAGTTAAAGATTAATATGAATGATACATATATCTGTTTTACATGTAAACAGTAGATATTTAGGTAAATAGCAAACAAAGTATTTCTGCTTTGAGATGTAAAATTTAAATGAACATATTGTATTCTCCTCTTAGAAAACATCAAAATATCTTATTTGTTCATAACACTAACTTCTTTGAGCTTACATGGCATCTTGTAGAACAGTCGCTCTCCTGCACCATCATTGGTTTGCAAGAATTTACTATCCACAGACCAGTCAATATGGGTAATAAAACTTGAAGATTTGTTGCACTCTCCTATTTTTTTGTATCGTTGAGCAATGGCATAGATATCGACAGGGCCATCATTAGAACCCACAGCAAGATAGGAGCCATCTGGTGAAAATTTCATTTCATGGATTACTTCCTTTCGATCTTTAATATGAACTACCTCTGTCATATCTCTGGAAGAACCAAGAGCAAGAATATAAATTATGGACTTGTAAATATGAAACCCAAAATATTTAAATTAAGACAGACACACTAAGCACTTTTTAAAAACAAAATCTGACTTCAGAAGTCAGAATTCTCCATTCTCTGTGTCTTACTGTCTATACTCATAAGTTCAAAGGAAAGCAAACAGTTTTATGGATAGCAAAGTGACTTGACCTTTTTAATTGACATTTATAACATTAATGATTCCCTATGTTATACTCCTCATAGCCAATACATCACTTTCAACTTGTTTTTTCCTAGTTTAGAAACAGAAATTAGTGTACATCTTTGTCAATATTTTTCATTAGAAAGAAAATATGAACTGGTGACCAAAGGAAGCTATATGAAGTATATTTTGGGATGTAATGTAATTCAGTAGCTCCCTGTTTGCCATTATAGTAGGATAAGTTAGTTTTTCCTCTACAATAAACTACTTAGTATCAAAGGGTATGTCCCTGGTCTGCCCCACTGGGGGCTTGTACCTCATTCCTCCCTCACATCCTTCCACTTACCTCTCCTTAACCCCCCTTCCTGATGTCAAATAAAATACATGTATTTTCATGAACACAAACTCTCTTTATTTTACAAAACTGGGGGAAGGGGGAATGAAACTCTGGTGAGACTGGGGAAAGGAGGCGAGAGAAGGGAAGAGAGAGGGTGGGAGAGGGGAGGGGGAAACCTGGGAGGAAGAAGCAAGAGGAAGAAGGAGGAGGGGAAGCTCAAGACTCAGGGTTGGGGGGGTCTCTCCTGACCAACTTGATTTTCATGCAGACCTGCTCCTGGGTTCACATGTGGCCTTTGGTCGCCAGATTGGCAGCTATGCTGCCATAGATGGCTGCATTCCTCCATCTAGTGCAGAGATCACGGACGTTGGGGGCATCCCCCCCAAACCTGAATAAGGTCCATGATCTCCACCCTGGACCAGGAAGGCGCCCGCCTTCTCTGGGCCTTGGCAGGCTCCTGGCAGCTGGTAGACTGCTCCTGGGGAGTAGTGGAGGGCTGGCTGCCAGTGGCTTGCTGGCTCATGTAGTGACTGCTGGCTCTGGGCTGGCAGACTTGGAGCTGGCACAGGCACTGTGGCCAGAGTCAACCCCTTTAAGGGCTCCGGGGAGGGGGGAGGGAGAGGAGTGTTTTTGGTTGAGGCTGGAATGGCCACCAGGGCACCTGGGAAGGCTGGCGACCCCCTATTTTGAAATAAATGTCTACACAGCACTTATTTCGAAATAGCTATTTCGAATTTGGCGTTATTCCTCATGGAATGAGTTTTACCAAATTTGAAATAAGGGCTCCACTATTTCGAATTATTTCAAAATAGCGGTTTGGCTGTGTTGACACTAGTAAAGTTATTTCGAAATAACTTTGCTGTATAGACATACCCAAAGCTAATCAGCATTATATTGATTATACTAGAGCCAGGGCTTCTATAGGAAATTTTTGGGGATGAAGCTGCTTGCATTATCTCATGGAACATATGAAATTTATATATATATTTAGTTTGCTTCATTAGTGCTACATGACCTCCAAGTTTATAAACTTTGCAGAGACTTTTATTGATGCAGATCAATAACAGAATCCAAAAGAGGAGAAAAAACAACATTAAGAGTAAGAATATACTTTGGGATTTGGTATTATTAGTGGTAAAGCTGGTCAAGAAATAACTATTTTTCCTCTGCTAGAAAAAAAAACTATTTTCATTGAAATGGTTCATTAAAATGATTTGGATATTAAATGAAAACCCAAAATCTGAAAAAAAATATTGGGTTTGGGTTTTTTCAAACAGAAACTCCAAAATTGTTAAAGAAATCACATTATTTATGTAGCTACAGTATTTTGGTGCATGTGCAGTAGTTGCATATTTAGTTATCTGTTCTCACGCAAAATCATTTGGGGTTTTCTCACAAATAAGATCTTTATTTACATATTTGTTCTATTGGTGAAATGTGGGTACACATTTGAAAACCTGGCCCAGTCTGTTAGCAGTGCACTGTAGCAACTTTCGCAGATCTCCACTGCATTGTCTTCCTACCTAAATATTTCCCCTGTAGCAGTGTCTGAGATTCTTCTGTCCTAAGGGCAGGACTCCGCACATGTCTTTGTTGACTCTCATCAGCTTTCTTTTGGCTCAAATCCTCCAATTTGTCTAGAGCCCCCACAGAATCATCAACTATTATTCCAACAAAAATGTCTTGTGCTATGTCTTTTGAAATAGAAAAAAAATTCTAAATTCATGCACCTGTAAACTAAAGAGTTATAAGGAGCTGTCATATTACATGAGGGCTACGTCTAGACTGGCATGATTTTTCACAAATGATTTTAACGGAAAAGCACTTTTGCGCAAAAGCATCCGTGGCCAATCTAGACGCGCTTTTGCGCAAAAAAGCCCCGATCGCTATTTTTGGGATCGGGGCTTTTATGCGCAAAACAAATGTGAGCTGTCTACACTGGCTCTTTAGCGCAAAAGCTTTTGCACAAAAGGACTTTTGCCCGAACGGAGCAGCATAGTATTTCCGCAAGAAGCACTGATTTCTTACATGAGATCATCAGTGTTCTTGTGGAAATTCAAGTGGTCAGTGTAGACAGCTGGCAAGTTTTTCCACAAAAGCAGCTGCTTTTGCCGAAAAACTTGCCAGTCTAGACAGAGCCGAGAAGTTTGGTATTCACTTAACATGCAGAGGTTTGCAAACTTTCCTGCAGACCTCACTAAAGAAATTGTTATAGATAGCAATCATTCCTACATTGGAGCAGGAAATGGACTTGGTGATTGAAGAGGTCTTTCTCAAATCTAGCATCTATTAATATGTCATAAATGCGGTTTCTGTGCCCCTCAAAATGTACTTAATTTCAGAGCTACTAAGTCACAGGATAGATACTTTTCAGTTGAAAATACTAAGCTTGAAAGCTTAAACTTGGACAACATTATTAATGATGTCATTAGAGACATTTTATGTTAAATTGAAATATAACTTTATATTCAAAATATAACTATTTATAATATATGAATGTATTACATTTACAATACATTAAAACATGAGCTTAATATACATGATTTAAAAATAGTCATCTCTAAAGTCAGCTGAGGAGAAATACCTAGAAACTTTGATAATTGTTATTCATTTTTTCCAAACAAAACACTCAATGAGTTAAAAAATAGTAAGATTTGGCCTGAGTTTCTAGAAGAGTCACCAGTACTGAAACACAATTCACTATCCTACCTTACTCGAAGAACAATGAAGGAACCATCTTTCATTCCAAGAGCTAGCTGAGATCCATCAGGACTGAAAGATACACTGCGTACAGCTTCTTCCATATTACAGCGAGCAATCAAGGCATGATCAGCAAGGCTCCATAATCTACACAAAAAATTGAGAACCAAAACAGGATACTTATCATTACAAATGTTCAAACTATCAACTGCAGAAATGAAATGCCAGCTTCTTCAAATAGATACACAGTAAGTATGCTTACCTACATGAAGTAATTTTTGTGGCTTAAATGTGTAACTGGGCTTTCATAGAATGCTCCCGTATTCTATTTAGATCTGTGCCTCTCCAAAGTCATAGTTAATACATTCTCAAAAATAATCATAATTTGGTACAAGGTAGTGGTTTTAGCATAATGCACCATTACATAAAGTTGAATTTTATGGTTACCACATATGCTGCAGTTAAAGGAAGGCCTGTTGCGATTTAAATCTGATTTCAATAATTAGGTTGTAAAAAAAAAACCTCCTCCAATAGAAAACCAGTTGGCTGCTGGCTAGATGCATATTTTCTCCCACAGATACAAGTTCTAAGCAGCACTGTACAGAATCTCAACCATATTTGTAATAAAGTTAAGAAATGTTTATTTCTATTTAAATATTTTTACTCAGACCCACCAAAGCGGGGGAGCAAATGGTCCAGAGATTCAAACAGTCCAGAGACTCTGGTTGTCACCACTGCCGCAATAGCAGTGGTGGTGGCCAGAGCCCCAGGCCCTTTTAATCACTGCCAGAACACCTTGCAGCATGCTCTGGGCAATGCTAAGTGCTGCGGGGAGGGTACTACGCAGCCAGCCCCCACACCTTGGCCAGGGGCCTAAGAAGGCTGTTGGTGTCCTTGTTTTTACTGGAATACAGAACAGAAAATATTTTAATTCCTTGAGATCATACAAGTACTTTACTTGCAGGGTTCTTGCTCTCACTTGCTTTGCCTAGCCTTATGGTGGCATTCTGCAAATAGCAGGACCAATTATAGGGAAAATCCTTTTCAGCCCTTGTAGCCTCAGTATGAAGCATACTGTATTACTCTGTGGGGAGGGAACCATAAGAGCTGCAAGAAAATGGAGCATGCTTAGTACAAATTGAATATTTGGTGACTTCAGTTGCCAAACGCTAATGAGTCTCTATTGAATTGTGGGAGATGCAACTTTTCATAGGGCTTTAAGTTGGCCAAATTTGCACAAATTCTCAGATACACGGCAATAGAAACTTGGTTGAGAGTATGGTGACTGCCCTCCTGCTATATTTAAAGTCCCTGCTCCAAAGGCACAAGTTGTACAATTTTTTGATAATGCAAACTAAACAATATATTTTTATTTTATCCTGTTTTCTGACATGGCTAATCTGTGTCAACTAACAGTTTTGGAAAATTTCAGCCTGAGACAGACACCTCACATGAAAAATTTCAGACTAAATTGTTTATGTTTAGCAAAGTTAGAAACAACAAATATATAATGATCTTATAATGGAAAGTGTCAGATACCTGCATTGCCTACATACAGATCATGCAGATCTTGGCCTTTTTATTTTGTGTCCTGCAATATCTGATAATTGCATGTGTGGTTATAAACTTGATGTACCTGTACACTAGATACAAGATTTGGCACAAAGACAAACATCCAAAACAATAGCATGTTAGGTGCTGTTTATTCTGTATGTTTTCCCAATAATTCATTATTTTAAAATCATTTGAGAAATATGTGTATTCTAAGAGTAAAGTAACAAATAGGAGTAAATGCATTCATACTCTGAAATCCATAATTGTCACTCTGAAGAGTAATGTATAATTTACAATTGTGATGTATAATTTACAATCGCAGTGTACCTTAAGAGAAATTGGACCTCATCAATTATTTTGGGGAAGGGAGGCCAAGTCATTTAACGTGCTCATAAACACAAGAGGAAAATGTGACAATATCAGTGATTAGATTTGTTAAACTAATGCCTTCCATTTTAGCCACAGGCAGAAATGAAATGCAGCATGCTTTAAGACTACATTTTTATAGGCAATTTCCGATGGATTTTACATGATTTATGGAATGTGGGCACCATGGCTGATTCAAAGTTATGACTGCAATGAAGTAATTAGAAAAAATGCTATCTTAATTAAGCTGAAGGTTTTTAAATTCTTGGAAAAGTGTCACAATTCTTTACTCAGCACTAAACCTCTTTTTAAAGCAATGACAGATGTTTCAAAAAAGAATATGGCTTAAAAATGTTCTTAAAAGTATATGACTGATTGAATATAGAGCAGTAAAGGAGCTCCGGCCTTACCGTACAGATCGATCATCACTGCCTGTGACAGCTAAAGGCTTCTTTGGATGAACTGCCAGGGCCCAGAGCTCCCCTTCACAATGACCCTGCATTATCAGCATTGGTTTATCTCTTTCTCTTACTATCACCTCAAATATTTCACTGTCCTGTGTCCCTGCTAAAAGTCTGTCTCCTTTCCAACAAACACTTCGGATGGACAAACCTGACAAGGAACAGAGCAGTTTTAGGTCACCAGTAACAATGAGACAAAGCTACATCTAACATAATACAGAATGAGAATTTTTACAATTCATTTATAACAACCATATTTTGAACTTATCTTCAGTCTGAAGACTTAAGGCATTTTGTAGCTTATATAGCTATAAAACTAAATAAGAAGCTAGAATTGCAATTCTATGAGGAAAAGCAAATGTCATTATTCCCATTTTACAAAAAAGGTAGTTGCGACAATGGGAGATGCAAGAGCAGTCCTGAGAGGCAATGAATGGTCAGAACTCCTAATGCCAATGGTGGGAGTTGAGTGTGCTCAGAATCTCACTGAATCATTTTCCTAGGCATTTTATATAATGGGGAAATTTACAGACACACAAAATCCATTTTTATTTAACACGGGTATTTGTGGGAAATTTATATTAGGGTAGACTCCTGTGATTGGAACTGTTTTTACCATCATTTCATTAGATTTGCTTTTTAAGCAGACTTAACTAAAACAGTGATAACGATTCCCATAACTGCAGCCTCATCTGCACTATGACTCTCAATGGTTCTATTTTTAAATTTCAGTAATTTCTCCAGATAAGATGTGGCCTAAGTGACTTACTCTAGTGTGTGCAGGAAATCTGAGACAAAAGTGGGAGTGGAATGCAGATTTCCCATTTATGGCTATGTCTAGTCTGCAGATGAACGCGTCCACGTTTTCGGAACAGTTTCCGAAAAAGCGGGCACATTCTTTTGGCATCCCTATATTCGTCTTCCTCTTGTGAAGACGGGCCAAATTTTGGAAAAGCCTCTTCTGAAAAAAAAGTGGAAAAATATAAACAAATTGCGTTTCACAATTTGCGTATCTTTTTCCAAAAAAAACCCTGCAGTCTAGATGTAGCCTATAAGCCCTCTGCTTTAACTGCAAGACTATCTTTGACTCACAAACCAGCCTCCTTCCTTCCCTTTTTATAAGGAAAAAGGTTATTTTAAAACCACATCTGTCCTTCATTAAAAAACCTCCCTTATCTTAAAACCAAATATACATCTATATGACAGATAGGCTGAAATTTCACTTTTATTGTAAATTATTTACATTAGCAATGTTGAATCATGAATCAAGCAATAGAATTCAATATGAAAATTCAGTAATTGATTCCACATAATTGTAAGTCTTTGTACTTCCCACTCACCACAGTATAAACTGGGAACAACTCCAGTCAAAAGAGTTACACTGCTGTAAGACTAGTACAGGCAGTCCCCGGGTTACGTACAAGATAGGGACTGTAGGTTTGTTCTTAAGTTGAATTTGTATGTAAGTCGGAACTGGCACATATTATAGGGGAAACTCTAGCCAAACATTTCTCCAGAGCTCAGTTTTATTCTCCCACACCTCACTTCCTTCAGTCCTTTATTCTCAAGCTGAGGTGTCTGCTGAGAAAAGCCGCTCCACATCTCCCTGGATGATTCATATGGACAATGCAGAGACAATAGGAAGAAATTTGAGATATCGCCTTAGATTCACTTTATTTTCAAAAAGGCTGTGAATGGTGGATGTGCCAGCAGGGTGACTAGTCTTCCTATTTGTCTAGCTGAGGAGATGGCAATTAGAAACTGACCATCTCTCGTACATGTGTTTTCATGGACACGTGTGAGAGAGCAAACTGCCATGGACTCCAAGAAGGTCTAGTCAAAGCCCTGAGAACTAGGTTAAGATCCTAGACTAGAGTGGGTGGTATCTCATGCAAGAATAGATTGCCAGTGCCTTTTTAGGAATCTACACATTAGCATGTAAAGGACATTTTCACTGCAAGATGTACCTTAAGCTGAGTGAGAGTTTTGACCTTTTAAGGTCTATAATGTAGTGTAAAATCAAAGGGAGGGAAGATGAGGATGGAATCATTTCCATTTTGTAGGTAAGTTTGTTGAGTGGTCAACTTTGGCCAAGTAGCAACACATTTTTTAGCTCATCAGAGCAGTCTGACTCTAAGGGTAGGTCTAGACTGCAGTGCTATTTTGGAATACCTGAAGTATCCCAAAATAGCAATGCCACATCTTTAAACATGCCAGTTATTTCCCAAAATAGTGGCTGCGCTATTCTGGCATCCTTGTAACCCCTCATTCCACAAGGGTTAAGGGAGTTGTTGGAATAGTGCCTTATTTTGAAATCTGGTGCTGTCTACACCGCGCCAAATTTCAAAATAAGCTCTTTCAACCTAGACTCAAAATAAGTTATGCAATTTGCATAGCGCAAATTGCATAGCTTATTCTGACTGAAGGGTGCTGTCTAGATGCTCAGAGGCAAAGGTAAAGGAGCAGTCCATTATTTTGAAAGATCTGGTGAGGAATCAGACGAGGAATCAGACAAGCCAGGTAAGGGAGTGAGACTTGTCTTGGCCAAAAGGGGCAATCAGAATAATTCTTTCTTTGTTTTGTTGAATTTTCAACATAGCCTTTGATAGAAGGAAAAACTGAGAAAAGATATACAAGAGGTCCCTGTCCCTTGGAAGAATAAGAGCACCTTCCAGTGAATGTTTCCCCAGACCAGACCTGGAGCAGTAACAAGGACATTTCTTGTTCCAGTAAGTAGTGAAGAGATAAGTAGTCAGGGTTCCCCAAAGGGTGAATATATGTTAAAGCTCCTCTGAGCTTAATTTCCACCTCACTTTCCGGATCATCACCTCGTATTAGTGAGTGGGTGTGCACGTTCCAATGAACCCAAGAGCGATGCCATAGGGAGTCTTGTACTTCCCGCAGGGTCACCCATGGCAGCAAGGTCAAGGGGGAGGGACCTGACAAAGAAAGATCCTAAAAATCCTCAATGGCAGAACAGGTGGAGGATAGCAAGGGTAATGCTGCAACAGCTGTGAAGGCAGATGAAGGCTGCAGCAGACAGAAGACTCCCAATCGTCATGGATTCCATGCCATTGGACACGGGCCTTCTATCTGTCAAGGATTGTGCGGTGGCTGCAGTGCAACAGCCCCCCCAGGTTAAAAGTCGTAATGCACAAGCATATTCCTATGCACTACTCTCCTAACTTTAAGCCCTATGGCAACTAGTGAATGGTGATGGGAGCAGGATTGTGAAATCCGGAAGCTTTTAGTCACGGACCAGCATGTAGGCATTGGATGTGTTTCTCAGTCATTCCATTTTAAGGACCGAGGCAGTAGAATGGTCTGACAGCTGCAACCATGACTGAGCAGCCCTATTTAGGGTCTGCTCTGCTCACCCCATATAGGAAGGGGGCTAGAAAAGGTGTCCACCTCAACCCCCCCTGACTGGATAGCCACGTCCAGTGCGTTCACCTCTGTGCAGTCAAAATTGAAGGTTAAATTTTGGAACATGGAATATTTGGACTTTAATGGACAATCCAGACAGTGAATGACCTGAAAGATGCATGGCAATTATCGCCCTGGAGCTCCGATGATTTAACATCAACATAGCTGCCCTGGCAGAAACGCATAGACCAGAAAAAGGACAGCTAAGAGAAGAAGGTGGAGGGTACGCCTTTTTCTGGAAAGGAACCCCAAAGGAAGAAAAAGGAATTCACGGAGTAGGATTTGCCATCCAAAACGAACTGACAAAGATTCTAAAATGAAGTTATTGGTCAGCCTCACAGCATCCTAACACCACAATTCCTATATTATAGAACTACAGAGATGAAGGATAATTTCAACTTGCATGGGGCAAGAAGCTCAAGAAACTCTTAGTAAAAGTCTAAATTAATGGATTGTGGAAAACAAGGAACCAATCAGCACCTCTCTATGTGACTAGTCAAATGGCAGAGGAGCATTCATGGGGAAGAGAGGCCCACCCCTGCATACACTCTCCTTTTATTCTATCTAAAAATATTGTATACCCGTCCAACCTAGTCAAGATTGGTAGCATTACAGATAAATTAATGTTTACTGAACTTTCTATCTGGATTTTTCACATGTTGACTAATCCTAAAAGTCCTGAAATCAACTTCTTGATTATTCCTTACATGTTAGTAGAGACTGTGGTCTCAGTTTTGCAAAGTCAAGCTTTTTACATCAGTGGCTCAATTCCACATTTGGTCATTCAGATAGCTATTAAAGCACGTCCATTTTAGCACAGTAAGTACCAATATGAAAAACTAAATATGGGATTAGCTGTTAATTTAGGTATATAAATGTGAAGATTAGGGATCTCTAGCCCATTACCTCATACAAGAGAACAAAGCCTTCTAACATATATTTAGAGAGGAAACTGCATATGGTAAATTCTTCAGAGGCTCAGCTGATTTTTCCCTTTAGCTGATCTAGTTGGGGTTGAACACTTTAAAAGAATAAAGTAACAACTTGACAGCATTTTCTGTTTGATTGCCTGCTTTTGTAACCTAACCAAAAATAATAACTCCTATAGTGGGATGAAATATGGGGGAATGAAATTAATGAAAAATCAAATTGTTATGTTAAAGTTCATGATAAAGTCAATGATACTATAATACAGATACTATAATAAAGGAATACTTGAATAAAATGTAGTTGAATACTGGTAGAAAACTGCTTTTCAATAAAATTCCCAATTGAATAAGATATATATCATTGGCGTTTTGTGCTGTCCCCTTAAAAATGAGTAAAAGAATGTTGAGCTGTCATGCCAACTTCCAAAAAATACAAAAAACCTTGGAAGATGACACAGTCTGTTCCCTTTTGTGAGTTATCTAGGAAATGATTCAAGCTCAGCTCTTAATAATATCTTCCTGAAGGGCACCAAAATCAGTATACGGAATGGAGTTCTGATATCTCTTTCAAATCCTCAGTAACCGCAGTAAAGTATTGGTGTGTAGACAATCTTAAGACATTGACACCAAATCAGATTAAAATGTCTTGAAAGTAATCATTCCTAGTATATATGTGAAAGGAAACTATTCTTCATCAGATGTTCTACTGACACTCTGGTAGATTCAGATTTAAGTGTAGATGTGCTAGTAATCAGATTGTGTATAATGACTGTGATAGACTGAACATTTACTGTAATACTCTGAATGAACTTTCATTGAAATAAGTTGAACCTTACTGAATTAGGGATAATACCTTTGGGGTAGGGTTGGAAGAACTGAGCCCACTGAAATTTCAGAAGACCGATTGCTTTTTCTGAGCTGAAGCTATGATGAACTGGGGACTACAATGGAATTTCCTTGCAAAAGGCATTGATGGACTGCTCCTGTCAGAATCTATGTTAGGGTTGGGATTAGCTCTGGTAAGCTTACAAGCATGCATGTAGTTTCTTTTATAGTTTTTAATATGTTTTTTCTGTTATGCTTTTTACCTTAAGAATAAAGTAGGTTTGCATAGGAAGTGCTGTTTGGTAACATATCTCTAACAATTACACCTGTTAACAGTCTCTGGACAATGATGCCAGGGAACTGAGTGACCTGAAAATGCTATGGTCAGAAGAGAGTGGGAGTTGTGTCAGAAAGGCAACAGCTGGAGTGGGCTATCTCTACAAACTGCTTACAGGGGGGAAAAACAAATGGGGGAAAATTGCGACTACACATATATTTAAAGTTAAGCACATGATGAAATGAACAAAGGCCACCTAGAAGATAGCTCAAGCCATCACAGAATTTTTGGAATTCTGTAGACTCCCAAGAACTTGGCAGGAATGTGGACTATCAGTTGACTTGGATGAGGCTGTTCAAACATTTAAATGTAAGCATGTTCTTTCCTGGATCAGAATCTATCAGGAAATTGAAACAGTCAAGAATCCTGATGTCTAAAGTGCTCTTTGGCAAAGCTCCAGTGATCAGAATTCTAGTCAAATTAAATCTGTAGCTAGCAAACAAAATGGATCAGCAGTGGGTCACAATACAGGAAACAAAGAAAGGGATAGAGATGGAACAGGTCAAAGGATACAGGTAAATGAAGCATTACATTGAAAGGACACACTGCAAAGAGAAAACAGAAAAGAGGACATGAGAAGAAAGACAATTAAAAGGGTAGAGACAGTGAGATGTAAGACCACAGGTTGCTTGGATTTTCTGATTTGTAACCCTTCTCATGCCTTAATTTTATATTCTAAGAGTCTGTCTATTGTTCAAAAGAAGTTTTTACAAATTTCTTCTTCCTTAGTCTCAATGATTATGTATGTGGACAGAACCACTTTGAATTTCTCAAAACACAGAACTTTCTTCCAATAGAACAACTGTAGTGTAATTCAACATTTAGTGGATTGCTTAAGTAAGTTTTCTAGTTTTTGTCACTGCCAACTAAGTACATAGTGATAAAATGTGTTCTGGTTGTGAAAAAGCAAATTTACAACGAGTGGCTCAAATTCTATATTTAGATGAACCCCAAAAGCTCAGGAGGGAAAGGTTAGGTAACTATTTCTGATTTTAACTTATTTCTACTTGGAAGTCACTTAGTTTGTTATTTATTAATAAAAATAATTGTGCTAACTTAATATTTATCTTTAAGTAGAAATTGAACTCCTTATTTGCACTGAACATGGAATTTTGTACGAATTATTTTTGTCTTGTAAGGAGACAGTAAGAATTAGCATTGATAGTCTATAGCCCTAGCATATTGCTTTTGCTATGTAATATTTTTCTGAGCTTAGCTGCTCTCTTCTAAGTGTTGTGTATCTTTAACATTTAACAATGGAATCGAATGCATATAATTTAATAGCAACTCTACATAAGAACATAAGAATGGCCATATTGGGTCAGACCAAAAGTCCATCTAGCCCAGTATCCTGTCTTCTGACAGTGACCAATGCCAGCTGCACCAGAGGCAGGGCCGGATTAAGGCATGGGCTAGCCAGGTAGCTGCCTGAGGCGCCAACCTATGGGGGGTGCCTGATGGCAGCAGTAAGGGATGCGCAACGCCCCTTATAGCTGCCATCAGGCGCCGCACGCCCGACTCCCAGATCACGGGCTGCAGCAGCTCCCAGCAGCCACCCTGCAGCAACTGCCTGGGGTAGGGGCCGTGTTAACCCCCCGCAGCGCCGGCCAGCAGCGCCCTTCCCCTCACAGCCGCGGGGCCCTGCACGATCAGGCTCGGCCCACTCCAGGCGGCCCCGGGCTGCGTGCCAACAGTGGTAGCCGTGCCGGGCCAGGCACGTGCATCCTGCCGCCGCCAGCTTCGCATGCCCTCCCTCATGCGCCGGGCGGGAGTGAGGCCGCACATGCGCCTTCCCCCAACCCAGGGCACAATTAAACTGTCTGCCCAGGGCACCAGAATGGCTGTCTGTCACCAGACGTTTGAAATCTGCTACTTATTAATTTCATTTGGTGACCCCTAGTTCTTGTGTTATGGGAACAAGTAAATAACTTCCTTATTCACCTTCTCCATACCAGTCATGATTTTATAGATCTTTTTCATAACCCCTCCTTAGTTTCCTCTTTTCTAAAATGAAAAGTACCAGTTTTATTAAGCTCTTCTCAGATGGCAGTAGTGCAAAACCCCTAATCATTTTTGTTGCCCTTTTCTGAACTTTTTCCAATGCCAAGATATCTTTTTTGACTGTAGGCAAGCACATCTGCACACAGTATTCCAGATGTGGGTATACCATGTCTTACTCTCTATTCCTTTTTAAATGATTCCTAATATTCTGTTTGCTTTTTTGACTGCTGCTGCACATTGAGTGGATGTTTTCAGAGAACTATTCACAATGATTCCAAGATCTCTCTCTTGAGTGGTAATAGCTAATTTAGTCCCTATCATTTTGTACGTATAGCTAGGATGATGTTTTCCAATATGCTTTACTTAATATTTATGAACATTAAAATTCATCTGCCATTTTGTTTCCCAGTCATCTAGTTTTGTGAGATCCTTTTTAAGCTCTTTATAGTCTGCTTTGGACTTACTTATCTTGAGCAGTTTAGTATCATCTTCAAATTTTGCCACCTGTTGAATAGATTTGGTCCCAGTACAAACCCCTGCAGGACACCACTAGTTATCTCTCTCCATTCTGAAAACTGACCTTTTATTCCTACCCTTAGTTTCCTATCTTTTAAGTCTTATGTGAGTTTTCTTTCTTTTAGCAAAGGAAGCTGAATAACTTATTCCAAGATCAAAATGCATTCTTTAGACCACCTGCAGAAGGACAGCAAGATAGCAAATTAGGAATAAATGAACTTTATAAATAAATTATGGCTTCTTGATGTTTATTATTTTGAAGCAATCATTTTATGCAGAAAATTCTCTTAATTCTTTGAATTCAGAGACACAACTGGCACCTACCAGAAAGTTCATGGGTTCATGGGTAGCAAGCAGCGCATGGAACAGAAATGTATTATTCCTTTGTTGGACTTTCCAAAATTTGAAGCATGCTTCACAGGACTAGTACAAGAGGAATCAAGAAGCTGAATGTTTATGTATGTGCATTCTATTTGCCAGCAGTTGTTTCTATGTACAGTTCTACATACCAGTCATTCTTACTTTTATTGTGAACAGAGTGCTTGAGGGCCTGTTACCAGCCGGAATACAGTAATGTTTTAGCATACTCTCAAAGTTCCCAGCTTGTGCTGAGAGCTAGAATTGAGCTCTCCATGCATACGTTTTAGCTTCCAAAATTCTCAAATGGACCCTGCCAAAAAAGTATGTTTGCTGACACACTTGTGATTTCTTACATTCTTTACATTTTTGTTCAGAACTTTATAAATAAATTGCCACCTCCTCACCACCACCTTGCCCAGGGGCCCACATGAGCTTTCATTTCCCTTGGTCATGGAAGACAAGAAGGAACTGAGAGGAGCCATGGCCAGTAGTGCCCCTTATATCGGCACATGCATGCACGGCTCCAAAGGGCATTAGAGCTGGCCACACAGATACCATTAAGGGAAAAATCTCCAGCAACATCACACAGAGTGTGCACACATGTAACATGGAATGGACATGAGCAAGCAGTTGGAAAAAATATATAGAATAATAAGAGTCCAAGCACTCAAAGAAAAATATAGAACATTAAGGGTTATAATGACTAGTTTCCTTTCCCTCTGTACTCCCCTTTAGTGCTCAGAAAATCTGAGAAACAGCATTCTCAAACTTTTGTTATGAGTATATCTTTGTATATCATGTTGTGACCTTCCACTGCATGAAAAAATAGACAACAAAGTACCATGTTTGTATTATGGAATATGAAAACTGCTCAAAAATATTAAAAAGCATTATTGTCAAACATGATAATTTGGTTTAAAAATCTATATATATCTATCAAGTCTGGTAAAATTCAACAGTATTCAGAGTCATTAATACTTTATATTATATTAAAATATAACAATGCTTATCCAAATATATCAAAATTCACTACAACATAATTGTATTACCTTTGTATCCTTGTTCAGTCTCCCTGAGATCAATTTTAGTTATTGGCTTGAAATCGGTGTCCCATAACCGAATACAACCATCTCTCCCACCAGTAGCAAAACCTTCCTCACAAGCATACATACTAAAAATTCCAGCCTGTTAATCAATAGTATAATAATTTTGAAAGTTGATTACAATTTAAACACACAAACAAATCAAGGTGTGTTTGAGTATGCTCTTGTTAAAAGCCAAACCGTTAAGAACTGTTAAATAATACTATTTAGAAGACAAGATGTTCTCCTCTCAGAAAACAAACCAAACACACATAGGTGACAGTTTATTTCAAGTGCTCTCTTACCAACTCATTGATTGTGAGTTATAATGGAATTTGTATAAATAACATACTCAGCATACAAATATCACTGTAAATTAATTTAATGAATTTTGTTACAAAGCAGTACTAAGTAAACCATAGGACACCTACAATAAACTGTCACCCAGAATAAACAAAAAACAAGCAAACAATTGATACAAATATTCTTACAGGTGAAGAGATGGTTCAGACAGTGTTTCATGAATTCAGTTCAGACATCCTTTGGA